AGTAATTAAACACTGTGTGGATATACGTCATGAGGTTATCCTTCTCTCAAGATATTCACTTACAATCTTCATTCATACAATGTGTGTGTTGTTTTTTTTTTATTATTATTATTTTCCTCGATTAACATTTATGATTATTCATTCATTTCAATGGTTGTTATTACTACGAAATGAATCATTTAGAAGAACGCTTAAAGCGTATGGATTTTTATCTTGAAGTATAGAGCAATGTGGCACCAGCCGACAGTGGGTTAAATTGGGTTATTGGTAACACATTTTTGCGCTAATATTATCAATATATTATATTTAAATGTCATAATCCGGATCATAATTGGAAGTCATGTCCGAGGAAGCCATTAAATAGTCATGTACTTTAAATTTTCCTACATTTTTATTTATTAACTGGTTTCCTTTTACACCACTGTCCCAATTGGCCAGTCCACCCAACCACTTGTCTATTTAGAATGCATCTCCAAGCCATTCATTAACAACACCGCTGGGGTTTGAAAGACAAAGAATAACACAAACTAGAATGAAATTAAATGGAAATGCCAGCCAAAAGCCATAATAGTGTCATTTTGAAAAAGTGTGTCACATACACAAAATTGCATTACAAAATGCAATTGCTCATAATTTGTCAAAAGGTGAAATAGTTACTAGTAAAAATGTATAGTCAAGTATATCATAGTGTTTCGGCAAATCGAATCACAAACACCGTGGAATAAATCGTAGTATATTTTTATCTTTATCCACAGGTGTCTGATGTAAACAATTTGTGTGTTTGATGACTTGGTTTTATTGGCAGGCTTTACATTCCATACAATACGAATCAATGTTTTGGATAAAAGACCTAAGTCGGTATGAATTAAAAGAGTTCCGTGGACCAATATGTGGACAAAGATTAATATTAATATTTATCGATCACATCAGTAATCAGATACGAAGACCCACTTTGATTTAAGTCCGATGCAACAAATAAAATTCATGAAGCCTTAGAATAATCTACGTTGTAATAAGTTAGGGAATTTCTAAAGTGTTGTTCTCCTAAAATGTATTGTTTTCTACAAGAAAGGACGTAATCGATGTGAAGACTCCAAATGTTAATGTTATGTAGTATATGCGGTGTTCTATCGGCCCACTTCCTTACTCATCCACACATACCTATAAAGAGTCTACATTTATTGTTCTGATAGTATATTCGCATCAGTGATCTGATACGAAGACCTGTAGCTGGTCTAACTGAGTCCGATAATACAACAAATAAAATTGATGAAGCCTTAGAATAATCTACGTTGCTAAAAGTTTGGGTATTCTGAAAGTATTGGTCCTCTAATTTTTTTTTAATATTCTGCAAGCAAAAAAGTAAACGATGTGAAGACTCACAATTTTACAGTTTGGGAGTATATGAGATGTTCTACTGCTTCACTCTCTTACTAATCTACACATAACCATCAAAAATCTACGTTTATTTGGAAGACAGCGGAATTGCAAAAAAGTCTGGATGCAGAGATGGTTGAACCGGTGACTATCTTTGTGGATAGTCAGGCGGCTCTTAAAGCCATCAAATCTTGTAATATCAAATCTGAGTTCGTCCTCGAGTGTAGAGCAGTTTTGGAAACACTCACTTACAGCTATCGGCTGTGTTGGATACCAGGACACTGTGACATCATGGGTAATGAAATACAGACGAGTTAGCTATACGAGGATGTCAATCTACAGATCCAGCAATCGATTGCTCAATCAAACCAACCATCTGTCATCTTTTTTCGGAACTTTGAGGCGTTCTTCGACGAACGAGCCAATGAACTTTGGCACAACGAACCTAGGTGCAATGTGTCAAGATCTATCTGACCGACTCTGTCAACTAAGAGAACAAACTCACTGTTGAACCTGAGCAAAGCTGAAATCAGAATAATGACAGGAGTCATTACTGACCATTGCATTATTAGGGCCTTTACCATTCGATCATGATATTACTGATTACTGCAGACTCTGTGCTGACCAGGAGGAGACGGACACAATTGAGCATCTCCTGAGTCGCTGTCCAGTTCCTACAGACGGCACAGACTAGTGGGTGCTCACTTTCCGCCTTCTCTAAGCTTCTTTTCAACTATGGAACCTGATTTAATATACAGCATCATTAGAAACCTAAAGTGGTTAGGAAAGTGCAACCTTTGCACGTAATATATGTTCTGTCTAATTTCTGTAGCCATCGAAAGGATTCCCACCTTCCTCCTAATACTTCTTGTTAGCTTATTATCCGTTGCAAAGGTTTACGGAATTACTAAACACTGGTTTTATTATTCGCTTTGTAGAAGGTATATGTTTTTATCAAATTGTCGATCATCTGTGGAGAGGTATCAGAAGGGGTTGCTCTATAGAAATATATGCTTTAATGTTTTTGGGGAAGGTACCAGTAGGAGTGAACCGACGGGGTTCCCATCTAGATTTTGAAAAATTATTACGATTTTCAAAATTTTGATTAAATCGGGCATCCTTTTGACAAATTTTCAAAATGTTGACACATTGTAAGGGAAAGTAGGTACCAAAAGGAGTCGTCCGATGGGTCCGTCTTTGGACTTGATCTAGCCAAGGTAAAATTATTATTATTATGTGCAAATTTTGGATCATATTGAATCAAAAATTTGACTAGAAGGAGTGGACGGATGGGTTCCATCTTCGAACATGATCTAGGTTTGGAAAAAGTATTACAATTTGCAAATTTTTAATCAAATCAGACATTCGTTTCATATTTAATTGGACCGATGGGTCCCGTCTTTGGACTTGATCTACCCAAGGTTAAAATATAACAATGTGTAAATTTTGGATCAAATCGGACATTCCATTTGTTTGATATTGAATAGACAGATTTTCAAAATGTTGACACTTTGTGGGGGAGGTACCAGAAGGAGTGGACCGATGGGTCCCATATTCGAAAAAGTATTACGATTTGCAAAAAGTATTACGTTTTTCCAGCAAAATTTTGACTATGTGCCCCGATGTGCCCCATCTTTCAACATGAATTAAGTTTGAAAGAAATATTACGATGTGCACATTTGACATCAAATCGGAATTCCATACTATGATTATTGGATTAACAAATTTTCATAATTTTGACCCATTGTGAGGGTGGTACCAAAATAAGTGGACCGATGGGTCCCAATTTCGAATTCAATTAAGGCTTGTTACAAATATTACGATGTGAAATTTTTGGATGAAATTTGAATATTCCGTTCGATTCATAATATATGATTTACAAAGTTTTAAAATGTTGACCCTTTATGGGGGAGGTACTAGAAGGAGCCCCATCTCCTTCATTTGAGCTTGAGAGAAATGTTACGATGTACACAAATTGGATCAAATTGGTTATTGTATTAGCCTTACATTGAATTTGTAAATATTGAAAATATTATTTTTTTAGCACCTTTTTCTATATGAAGGAGTTGCCAGATAGAAACAAAATTTAACATGTGTTTCCAAAAGTTTCAGTTTCCAAAGTTTCCAAAACACAACTTTTTTCTGTTTATATCGCGCTTTTTGTGCAAAGCTAAGAACTTTCCGAACTGACCTCATATATTACCCTCATTCATTACCCAATAGACTTACGTACGACTACATACAAAAGGCTGACAGAAATGATTCCGATACCCTCATCTATTACTTTTTGGACCAGCAACTTCATGTTGGAACCTTTCTGCATTTTGAAAACAATTAAATATGAATTGGGTATTTTAGATGCTACAACAACAAAGGTACATTTTATCCAGCTTCTTTTTGTTCCAAATTCTCTCAGAGATCTTCAGCGGAATAAAAAAGCTTCTGTTATATATTCTACGTATAGAAAATATTTTCTCTATATGTAGAACCATTTTTAGATAAAATTGTATCTTATGATGGCCTTGTTAAAAAAAACTAAAACATCTGGAAATTCCCAAGATTTCAAATGGAATTTTTTAAATATTTATTTAAATCATCGATTCTGACACTGTCTTGAATTTTGTGTGTGTGTGTTTATGTAGTGAACACGTCTTTTTCTTTGCATTTCTTATTTAAAACAATACCCTCAATTATGGTCATACAACTACCACTCGCATCATTCGTCGCCAAGTCTACATGATGATAATGATGATGATGCGATGCAAACTGATATTCTTCTTCTTTCTTGCTCTTGTTTTGATTTCCACACCATACAGAGCACAAATTGAAAAGCGCACGTTCGCATAGGCATTCTTCGCCTCACAGCTCAGCTCAGTTCAGTTCCCAGTAGTCATTTAAGAAAATATAACAAGAAGAAGAAGAAACAAACAAGCTGCAACAACATGATGGGAGAATGAGGAGTAAAATCATTACAATCATTAAATTTTTGTCAGTGGATACGTCATTTACACTTGAGTTTTTGCTTCAAAGGAGCGAGCTGCTGTCTGTTCGACGGTGCGCCGATGGAAGTAAAAATGTTGTTGCAGTTTATAAAAACTGAGCCCACAGCAATGTGTTATTGCATACGCAGTGTGGCCACAAAAGCCACCAAAAGAATCATAACCACATGTGGTGGGGCCGGCCCACCCTACATACATACATGTAGGCAAACTAATACTGAATGCACTGTACACTGCACTGCACTCCTCACTCATAGTCGCCACAAGTATGCAGGCAGACGGGCAAGCAATTGTTCTGCTATGACGATTTACATTTGAAGTGGCATCACGTTTCTGTTGCATTTCATATTTGTTCGAACAGCAATCGCGTCTAAGGGGCTGCATTTATAGCAACAACAACAGAAGGCAGCAAGCTACGGGTGTGTCACCATCATCACCTGCCTGAATTTCCGTATGAGGAGGAATAGTAGTAGTAGCAATTGATATTGCATACCATGAAGGTGCAAAACAACACACATTTTTTCTCTGTTCTCTGTGTGCTTTATTTTCCATAGCAATTTTTTGTTTGAAATCCATTAAATTCTTATATTTTACTTTTCCTGCTTTCTTTCTCTCTCTTTGCAGTTTTCCAGCATTGAAACTCCCGGCTATGTGGGTTTTGCCAATCTACCCAATCAGGTGCACCGCAAATCAGTGAAAAAAGGTTTCGAATTCACTCTTATGGTTGTGGGCGAATCTGGTTTGGGTAAATCAACACTGGTCAACAGTTTGTTTCTCACAGATTTATATCCGGAACGCATCATACCCGATGCCGTGGAGAAACAAAAGCAAACCGTCAAGCTGGAAGCCTCCACTGTGGAGATTGAGGAGCGTGGTGTTAAGTTGCGTTTAACGGTTGTGGACACACCCGGTTTCGGTGATGCCATCGATAATTCGGATAGTTTTAGTGCCATATTGGAATACATCGATGAACAGTATGAACGTTTCCTGCGCGATGAAAGCGGTTTGAATCGTCGCAATATTGTCGATAATCGTATACATTGTTGTTTTTATTTTATATCGCCATTTGGTCATGGGTAAGTGAAACAACGGCGCAATTTCAACTCCCATCTAATATCCGTTTGATGATATGAATTATGTATGTTTTTTTATTTCGTTTTTAGTCTCAAACCCCTCGATGTGGAATTCATGAAAAAACTACATTCCAAAGTCAATATTGTGCCTGTGATTGCCAAAGCCGATTGCCTTACAAAAAAGGAAATTCTGCGTTTAAAATGTCGCATCATGCAAGAAATCGAAGATCATGGCATTAAAATCTATCCCTTGCCCGATTGTGACTCCGACGAGGATGAAGACTACAAGGAACAGGTGAAACAATTGAAAGCAGCAGTGCCATTTGCCGTCTGCGGTGCCAATACTCTACTCGAAGTTAAGGGTAAAAAAGTCCGTGGTCGTTTATATCCATGGGGTGTGGTCGAAGTGGAGAATCCAGAACATTGCGATTTTATTAAACTAAGAACAATGTTGATGTAAGTAAAAATTGTGTGTGAGAAATTTAGAAATTTTAAAATTTGCATCCGTAATTTATAAAAAAATATTCGGAGAGATGGTGCTTTGCCATTGACTCCCTTAACTAGGTCATATGGGTCAGAATTGAATTTAACTAAATTTATTATGACTGTAATGTGGAAGTATACTGATGTGAGAATTAACCAGTCTTTATAATGTTTGAACAGATGATAACTAATTCTAAAAATTGCATCTTTATAAACTTAGGCTTCTTTTTGAATTTATAAAATACGGAGTGAAAAAATGGAGTAACACTCATATTAGCGCGCTATACAAACGGCCTACCAATAGAGTGGATTTGAAGTTTTTTTTTTCAATAACCTACCAATGGCGTGGATTTTTTAAAAATATTTTTTTAGGGCATGTATTTTTTAAAAATATTTTTTCATATTTTTTTTTTCAAAGGTCTATACATGGTGTGGTGTTTTAAAAATATTTTTTTAAAGCCGTGGATTTTTTAAAAATATGTTTTCAAAAAATTAATTACCTACCAAAGACTTCGATTTTTTTAAAAATATTTTTCAAGTTCACAAGGCGTGGATTTTTTTAAAATATTTTTTTCAAGACGTAGATTTTTAAAAATAGTTTTTTCAATGCGTAGATTTTTAAAAATAGTTTTTTTCAAGGCGTTGTTAACCTGGCAAAAAGTTCGAATGTAAATGCCGTTTTATTGTTTTAGCCGTTTTATTAACCAACGGCGAAACGCGTCGCATAATGGTGGGTACGTAGGTTCTTCTCCTGGCTTTCCTTTTCATTGCAAAAACTTAGATCATCAAGCTCGACTCGAAAGAGTATAAATAACCACTTAAAAAAAAGACAAAAAAAAAGAAAAAAAAACACGTAAAATTGAGAATATCCCATTAAAACCTTTTGTACATTAGATGTTTACCTTTAAGTTTATATTGTTATATTTACTATATGTATACTACACTCATTTAAATAATATTTTTAATTTATTTGTATTTGTTTGCTTCTTTGTTACAGCACCCACATGCAAGACCTTCAAGAGGTTACACAGGAAGTCCACTATGAGAACTATCGTTCCGATCGTTTAGCCAAGGGTATTAAAAACAAAGAGAATGGCATAATTAAACCTGAACGTGATTCTATGGTGCCCACACAAATTGTGCTGACAGAAAAGGACCGGATACTGCAGGAAAAGGAAGCTGAACTGAGACGTATGCAGGAAATGTTGGCACAAATGCAGGCTAAAATGCAAGCGCAACAATAAGTCTTTGAGTTTTCCAAACAACAAAAACCCTACCAACCACTCACCACCCATTCTCAAGGTGGAGAGTAAACACAAAAAATACACTCACAGACCGACATCCACGTTTTTTTGTAACTCTAGGTATATAAACCAGACAGACAGTTTTTTTTATAATTTAACACAAAAAATAATGGTGCCGAATTTCAAATGATTCTTTTTTTTCTATTATTTTAAAATATGTATGTATGTAGAATATTTTTTTATATCTCTTTTATGTTTTGTGTAGTAATTTTTAGATGTTCTTTTTCTTTCTTTTGTGTGTGTGTAAAATAGTTTGCGCTAATGACCCACACAAAGAAAACGAACTTTTAAAGAAATATTTGAAATTCCAAAAAAAGAAAATCACGTTACAAATCTCGACCTAATTATTATTATTACTATAAAAATAATCATTATTTATATAAGTATTATTGAAAAACAAAATTTGTATTAAAAGAAACCACAATATATGTAACACTTTAAAGTGTAAATTTTAGATTACACCATTTCCAAATGAAACTATGAATCTATTGATATTTGAAAAAGAATTTCTTAAATTGACAGACAGTTGAAGATTTCCACTTTCAACACAATTATGCGGATAGATATTGACCCAGGCATTGCAGACAATGACGAGTCATATTAATGATTCCGGTTTGTCAACTATTTTGTGGTTCTCCTAACTCCCATGATATTTCATATCGCGTTACCGTAAGTGGAGTCAATATAGAACTTGACATTATAAAAGACTCCAGTTTCGACTAAGTTAGCGGCTTTTTGAAAGGCAAAATTGTACCACGAAGCATATTGTAACTTATAGCACTCGTTGTTTAAATAATAACTACGGTGATTACTCACAAGGTTCGCATTCTTCCGGCCTATAAAATGTTGACCTCTGTTTCTGTCAAACATAAAATTATCTTTTTGACGCGTATTTTCATTTGGAAATTGTGTAATTATTGTTTTATTATTTTCTTTTCATACGAAACAAGGCCAGGCCCTCCTTTTTGACACAAATGAAATACATACCACACTCAACAACACACATCTACAATACAAACAAATTCAAACATTTTATAGTGCATATTTTTAGGCGTAACTAGGTGACGCATAAATAGTATTCACCTCACCATACATTAAAAGAAAACTAAATGGAAAAGAGAAACAAAACGAAATTCTTGTTTGTTAAACAACAATTGTTATATTAGATTAAAAAAAATCATACACTCACACGTACACATCCAAACATATAAAAGAAGTGAAACTCCTAATTGAAACACAGAAAACATGATTGATTATGTATATTTAATCATTTTGTCATTAACCTCAAATTTTTCTGCAACACCACGTCCTAAACCTAATTCCTAAATGAAGTTAAACTAATTGAAAAACGAAATATATGCTCAAACTACAATCAAATTAATAAAAAAATGGAATTTATTTAAAGTAGAAATTCCAAAAAAAGATAATATTTTAAAAAAGAAATAAAAAATTAATTTGGACATAGCAATTTTTCATTTGTTTACTGTAGCTATATACAAAATTGTTTTGAATAAAAAAAAGAAATCGAATACATCAGATTGGCACAACTTATTCCTAATAACTCTTGTCTTGTGAGATTGTTCAATTATGGTTCTTTTAATAACTCAAAATAAAAAAAATTATTGATTATAATTATTATAAAGAAAAAACCAAAATTATATTTCACACTAACTAAACAATTTGGCATAATTTTTATATTTTATTTTTGTTTAATTTGCTATAAGCTTTTTAGTATTCTAAGGTATGTTAATCAACAACAAAAAATCTCTTTACTTATATTTAATATTTCATTGGCCCTTAACACTTCTCAAAAAAATCAACTTATTTTTATTATCAATTTTTTTACTTTATTTCTATATACTAAATTTATATACCTGTAATAATTATATCTTATATACATACCAAACACAACATATATATACAATGTCTTCGTGTATAAGTAACTATCATCCTTTTTAATATACATCTAAACAAAAAATACACATGATAATCTATATATATATATATATATATATATTATTGACATATTTAAGATTTCTTTTCGGATATATACATAATAAAATTAATTCTTATAGTTACTTAAATGAAAAACATGAAAAAAACAATGAGAACAAATTATATATTAAATATATGCGCTTTTTTATACATATATCAAACAAAAATAATTGAATGTGTTTTATTTTTAATGGATTCTTTGGCTAGGTTAGGTTAGAAACAAAACATAAAGAAAATATTAAATTTTTAAAAATAATGTGAAATATTTGGTAATTTTTTAAGTTTTTTTAATTTTGTTTCGCGATTTTGTTTACTTCTCAAAGAGATGTTGATTCGACGTATTTGGGTAATACGGCCGTACAAAACATTTTGCCATAGTGGGGAAGTTGAATATTTTTGAACGCCTAAAAAATATACCAATTTATTTTAATCGGTTCCGTATAACCGGGCACCCCTTTGACCCAAAATTCTGAGTCAAAACCAGGTACGTCCACCCAAGAAAAAAATATATACCCATAATTAGGGTAATAATATCTACCTCTCTGGAAAAAATTTAAAAAATCTAATCGTTTTTTTTTTCTAAAATAGCACAGAGTCTGCAATAATCAGTAACATAATTGTCTCATTTACTGGTAAGGGTCCTGATATTGCAATGACCAGTAATGACTTTCTGCTTTGCTCAGGTTCAACAGTGAGTTTGTTCTCTTGGTTGACGGAGTCGACCATATAGATCTTGATACATTGCACATAGGTTCGTTGTGCGAGAGTTCATTGGCTCGTTCGTCGAATAACGCCTCAAAGTTCGGAAAAAGATGACAGATGGTTGGTTTGATCGATTGCTAGATCTGTATATTGAGATCCTCGTCTGGCTAATTCGTCTGCTTTTTCATTACCAATGATGTCACGGTGTCCTTGTACCCCACTTATAGCCGATAGCTGTAAGTGGGTGTTTCCAAAACTGCTATACACTCGAGGACGACCTCAAATTTGCTATTACAGGATTTGATGGCTTTAAGAGCCGCCGGTTCAACGATCTATCCATTCAGACTTTTTATCAATTCCGCTGCCTTCCAAATAGCGAAGATTTCAGCTTGGAAAATACTACAGTTGCTATCCAGCTTGTAGGTAAGCTCAAGGCCTAGCCTTTCACAGTAGACGCCAGCTCCTGTACCTTCTTCCATCTTGGATCCGTCCAGACCACCCAGAGGAGGGTTGCTACAGTTCCAATTGTCTCTACTAGGAATAACGACATCTATATCGTCAAATCTCAGGACTGGTGATATTTAGTCGCTTAGTTTTCCGCGTTGGTCCAATGTCATACCTAGTTCGTTCATGATAGGTACAATTTCGCCATAGATTTTGTTAAAATGGTAACGAAGATTAGAGTTAAACAACAAAAGTATTGAAATATTATTTAGGCAGTTGATGATGATGGCATTCATCTAGTGTTTTAGACGTTCGATCGATTCGAGGAGCGAAAATCGATTCGGATCATTACCTTGTAGCAGCCAAGGTTCGCACTAGTCTTAATGTAGCAGCAAAGGTGCGATCTAATGTAAAACGAAAATTCGATGTCGAAAAAGCTGCAATTACAACAGATAGCAGAAGCCTTGCCGAAAGCACTCATTGTCCCAATAATAGTATAGAAGGACAATTACAAAGAATTGCCCACTTCCTACAAACTGCAGCAAATGCAACACTTGGGTACAAAAGAGCACCATCAAGAAACCCGTGGTATGATCAGGAGCGTCGTAATGTTTTGGAAAATTCCATCATCCTCCTCCACCTGGTGACAGATACAGATCTGAAAGCATTTTGCAAAGCTTCTGGTATCAAATTGTGGCGGTGAAGAAGATACCAAGATAAGGTCAGAACCGCAATTAATCAGCTGAAGAATAATAAAGCAGCAGGTGTTGATGGATTACCAGCCGAGCCGGTGGTCAGATGCTGGTCAGGAGCATGCACCAGCTGATTAGTACAATTTGGCTAGAGGAATGCGTGTCCAATGATTGGAACCTCGTGCACAAAAAGGAGACAAGTACTATCCAGCGTGCTGTGTGAACGTCTGAAGCCAATGGTCACGAAAAAAGCCAACGGACCATACCAATGCGGCTTCAGACCTGACAAATCAACCATAGACCAAATTTTCACACTGCGACAAATCCTGGAAAATACCCACGAAAAATACGTTGACACATTCTACCTACTCGTCGACTACAAAACCGCATCCGTTCAGAGGTGTTTAGAGTCATGTCTGCGTTCGGCATTCCTGCAGCATTAATACGGCTATGCAGGATAACTTTAACTGGCACAAGGTCAGCAGCTAAAGTCGGAAAGGACCTCTCGAAGCCCTTCAATACCGAACGTGGATTCAGACAATGTGACAGATTGTCGTATGGCCTTTTTAACATCCTGTTGAAAAAGGTCATACGAGCTGCAAATGTAAACAGAAATGGTACTCTGTACAGCAAAGGACATATGTTACTCGCCTACGCCGTTGACATCGACTTAATTGATCGAACATTGAGAGTGGTAACAGCCACGTTTGAACAAATTGAGAAGGAGTCGGTCAAAGTGGATCGGGCAGTAAATGGCGAGTTGACCAAGCTGATGGTATAAACGCGCAAAACGTCCAGTAGACTCGGACCAAGTGTGGAACTTGAAAACTACTTGAAAACTGACATCAGTTTTGAAATTTGGAGAAGGATAGTGTTGGCCAACAGATGCTACTATGGTCTAAATAATGAGTTTAGAAACAAGGCCACCTTTCGCCAGACCAAACTCACACTCTACAGGACGCTGATACTACCCGTGCTCTTGTTGGGATCTGGGGGGCTACTCTGTATTGCGATGCGTGAGAAAAATTGTAACGCATCGCGTAATTGGTACTCTCTAATTCGTTTTCGTATCTCCTTTCGCATCTACTTTACGCAAATGTGGCATCACCGCACTCTGTAATACGAAAACGCATGTCAAACTCGTTCGTTAAGCGCAAATATCTTGCGTTAACAAAATAGCAAACGCAAAGGAAGCGAAACATATAAGTAAGCTCCATTAAAGGTTTTATTTATATATAAATTGTAAATTATTTTAAGTAAAAGGCAAAAAAGTCACAGTTACAGACTCAGCAACGTCAGTTCCTAACTTCAGTAGATTTTATGGGGCAACACAGTGATTTGGCAAAGGGACAGTTGCAGAGTTCAAATGCGAAACAACGCGCCAACAATTTGTGGACAAAACTGTCTGATGACCTCAATTCAAATTGACCTCCTGTAAAAGATGTCGGTGGTTGGAAAAAGTAAAATATTATTTTTTTATATAAAATGTGAAACTATGTGTGCATATTTATAGGTTGGTGTTGATAACCACCTTGTCCAAGCAATTTCAAAGCAGCGGCCTCTTTTATTGGAGTTGGAATTGTTGTGGATCTATTTGAAACGACGAGCGTTTGAAAAATACATAAACGAATCTTAATTGAGACATTATATATAAATCTATAAAAATTAAATATTTGAAAACATTTGTCACATAATTCGTACTTATATTTTCATACCCGTGGTCACTTAGGGAGAGTATATTTGATAGATCTCATAAAATTCTTTTTTTTTAATTCGTTCATCATTTTTGTTTAAAAAAAACACTCGTACCACACAAAAATATGTTTTCATTTACAATTTTTTGACGTTTCCTTTTGTCATCTTCGTTATTGTTTACTTTGTGGCGACAGTGTTGCCCCATTTTCAATTCAGTTTGCGAATGCGTTTGCGTGAACGTTACAGAGTACCAAATTGTACTCTTAACGCATTTAGCTTTCGCATCGCACTTGCTTTCGCAACGCAATACAGAGTAACCCCCCTGAAGTATGGGTAGTTGCGAAAGCAGCTGAGGCTGCTCTTGGGGTGTTTGAAAGAAAAATTCTCCGAAAGATCCATGAAGGGAAACGAGGAAATCTTATAAATCAAAACTTAGAACAGATTGGAACACTAGAGAGTAAGTATAAAAGTGAGATTAAGAAAGATATGAAATAGTCTTGGATATGCTTTAGTAAGTCGATAAAGGGAGTAATTTTCGGAAAATAACATGGAAAGACCCTAAATCCATTGGTCGTATTAAAAGAAATGATTCCACGTAGACAAATTCTGATTTAGAGACTCTGGATCGGATACTCATTTTCCAGTTAGCACATAATTGGGTACGGATGAGCAATTGCTGCATCATATTCAACCTCGGATCATGATAAATAAAGCTCTGATAGAAGACCCAACAAGCTATTCAAAACTGGTATGAGCGATTAACACTTTTCGATACTACAAATCTGCTGGACCACAAGGCCGGGTGCTATCGCCCCCGCTTCGACTTTTTGTGATAAACGAGATTATTGTTAACTTTGACCAATTGCGAACGAATGTAGTGTTTTTCCCCGTTTTGTCAAAATTTGTTATCGTAGTAAAAACGTCGTAGATTATTGCAATCCGGGAACAGACCAATTATAAAAAAAATATTTAAGAATTTGTGTTGTTTTTTTATTATTTTTATGTATAATGTATAACAAATCATGTTAAGGTAATTATTATATAATTCAAATCCTATTATGTACACTCTACACCCATATTATTTCTTATATATATGGGCAGTGGGTAAATACCCAAAGGGTAAATACCCGGTAAATTGGGTAAATACCCGGTAAATTGGGTAAATACCCATTTGTGGGTATTTATTTGGGTATTTACTATATTGAATCGGTAATACAATATCTTACACCCTATTTCCGGGTTTATGTTATCACATCGATTAAGAATGGATAGTTTTACGATACTTTAAAGACGTGGGTAAAAACTTGGGTAAATACCCGAGTTTTTACCCAAAAATTGGGTATAAACTCATTAACTGCAGAACCACTTGACATAGGCGGCCAAAATTTTGCACACATGTTTCTAATGTCAAAGCAAATACAGAAATCCAACATGGGGTCCCTGGGTCCAAGTTTTGATATAGCCCCCATATAACCATATTTCCCGATTTAAGGTATTTTTTGTCTATTAGACACATTTTACAACCAAATTGGCTGTAAGTTGGCACAGAGTGTTCTTTTTGAGTACAAAATGTCCATGCAAAAATTTATGTATGTAGGTCCACGTTTACTGGTAGCCCCCATACAAAGGTACCCCTATTTTGAGTATTTACCCAAAAATAGGGTATAAACTCATTAACTGCCGAACCACTTGACACAAGCGGCCAAAATTTTGCACACATGTTTCTAATGTCAAAGCAAATATAAAAATCCAACATGGGGTCCCTGAGTCCAAGTTTTGATATAGCCCCACATAACCGTACCTACCGATTTAAGGTGGTTTTTGACACAAATGGTTCAAAATCAACATTATTTCCTGTATGGGAATTGGGGTCTTCCAAACACACGTCAATTAGTTCGGCTGTTAAATATATATAAATATGTTAAATATATATAAATACCCAAAATCAGGACCGTTATATAGGACAGAAAACGTGGACCAGAGTAAACAATTGGTACTCATTGAGAACTCTTTACCTAAAATCGGGAGCTACGGTTACATGAGGGCTATATCAGAACTTGGACCCAGAGACCCCATTTCCCACACCAGTATTTGTATTGATATTAAAACCATCTGAACCAATTTTTGACCGCCTATGTCAAGTGGTTCTGCAGTTAATGAGTTTATACGCATTTTTTGGGTAAATACTCAAAATAGGGGTACCTTTGTATGGGGGCTGCCAGTAAACGTGGACCTACATACATACATTTTTGCATGGACATTTGGTACCCAAAGAGAACACTCTGTGCCAAATTACGGCCAATTTGGTGTCTAATAGACAAAAAATACCTAAAATCGGGAGATATGGTTATATGGGGGCTATATCAAAACTTGGACCCAGGGACCCCATGTTGGATTTTTATATTTGCTTTGACATTAGAAACATGTGTGCAAAATTTTGGCCGCCTATGTCAAGTGGTTCGGCAGTTAATGAGTTTATACCCTATTTTTGGGTAAATACTCAAAATAAGGGTACCTTTGTATGGGGGCTACCAGTAAACGTGGACCTACATACATACAATTTTGCATGGACATTTTGTACTCAAAAAGAACACTCTGTGCCAAATTACAGCCAATTTGGTTGTAAAATGTGTCTAATAGACAAAAAATACCTTAATTCGGGAAATATGGTTATATGGGGGCTATATCAAAACTTGGACCCAGGGACCCCATGTTGGATTTCTATATTTCCTTTGTCATTAGAAACATGTGTGCAAAATTTTGGCCGCCTATGTCAAGTGGTTCGGCAGTTAATGAGTTTATACCCTATTTTTGGGTAAATACTCAAAATAAGGGTACCTTTGTATGGGGGCTACCAGTAAACATACAATTTTGCATGGACATTTTGTACTCAAAAAGAACACTCTGTGCCAAATTACAGCCAATTTGGTTGTAAAATGTGTCTAATAGACAAAAAATACCTTAATTCGGGAAATATGGTTATATGGGGGCTATATCAAAACTTGGACCCAGGGACCCCATGTTGGATTTCTGTATTTGCTTTGACATTAGAAACATGTGTGCAAAATTTTGGCCGCCTATGTCAAGTGGTTCTGCAGTTAATGAGTTTATACCCAATTTTTGGGTAAAAACTCGGGTATTTACCCAAGTTTTTACCCACGTCTTTAAAGTATCGTAAAACTATCCATTCTAAATCGATTTGATACAGAAACCCGGAAATAGGGTGTAAGATGTTGTATTACCGATTCAATGTAGTAAATACCCAAATAAATACCCGCAAATGGGTATTTATATAATTCAAATCCTATGGGTATTTACCGGGTAAATACCCGGTAAATACCATCTCTACTTATATATATTACAGTACATATTTAAAGATTATCATTATTTTGAATTTTTATTGAGACGTGAAAATGATTCAACATACCAATCGGGTAGAAATGAATGATCTGTTTTACCCGGCAGACAAACATAATTTATTTGTCCCGATCTGGCATTAAAATAAAATTCATATACTGTATAAGGGCAGTTAAGATTTGCTGTAATAGCTTTGAGGCGACCCAGAAATTGACTGAGGAAATTTGCACAGACCCAAGGGGACCAATGATTTTGCTAAAAAGAAAATAAAGATTTTTTTAATTTCTCAACAATCATTAGCACATTCATACGACTTACTGCTCCATTTTTTGGCAAAGAACGCGTTTCGATATGCTCCAAACTTCTGACAAAACCCTTGTCATTACGTATACCAACATAAAGATCTTCGATGCCAACCAAAAAGGACTGACACCACCAATTGCGTGATTTGAATTTTAGATAGGATGTGCGTTGTCGATCGTTAAAAAGAGCTTGACGTGTTTTGAGCTCAACGAATTTTAGATTCTCCAATACAGGTTTGTCATAGTTTCTGCAATAAAAATTGACCTCAAGATCTAGTTATGAAAAGGTTTACATATTGCATGAACTTACAGCTGGACCGGTTGTTCACTTATAACACCATCCATTTCAGCGCCATACAACAAATTCATACCAGCCAAACGTGTATGGAAGACAAGAGAAAACTCCTCGGACTCATTAACGGGGGGACTTGTATCCGGTTCTCGAAACGGTGAATCTGACAAACAATATTGCTCAAATTTAAAACCCCACGAACAACAATTCTTCTGAAATTGACTCTCTTGAGATCGTTCATAACGTTTCTGCTCCGTCTCACGTTCTACCAAATAAATTGTATTCTTAAATCGTGTAACGTGGATACACCAATCACTTCGGTGTTCATATGGTGTACACATCAGTAGTCGTAGCAAACCTCGATATGATACAAATTCAGGAGCCGGCGAATTTACAAAAATCCTTTGTTGATGATCATATAGGAAACGTAATAAATGATCCAATAATTCATTTCGGGCAGATTCTGGTTTGTGGATGACTCTATTGAGGCCGGCATTTAAATCCAAAGGGAAAGCTTCAGCTGCTGGGCTTTTGTAGTATTTCAATTGAGTATCGTTGGGTTCGAACATTCGATCACCATCAATGCTAAAAAATCCAATTGGATGAGGTTTCTTTATATCGGGGAAGGCCATTTCACTTTCTGGTGGTCTAATCCATGACAGACCAATGTCTTTCCCAGTGTTGAATCCATTCATTTTTTATCTAAAATAAAAATATTTTTTAGAAAGTGCCCATTAAAATTTAATGTTTTTTACTTGCCACGATAAGGACGAACGTTCCTAGTCTTTAATTCACCTTCCAGCAAAAAGAAACTCAAACTCGGTGTTTAGAATGCAAAGCACAAAACGGATTCAAAACAAAAACAACATAAAATCGATTATTGGTGAATCGACATATCGAAATAAGGGGCATGGCAACATGTTAATTTGACTTGAAAATTACTCTCATTCAATTAAGCGGGGTTCACACTATGACATTTCAATGGTATTTTACGCCAATGATCGCGTTACGCATTTTTTCCCTTGTAGTTGTGGTATTACCGATAACAAAAACAACGACGGCTCAATGGATCCTATACTGCTCACGTTCGCCATTCATCAAGCTTCGAAGAAAATTTAGATCTAGGGAGACCAGTTGCATATCAGCTGCTTCTTAAGTTTGCTGTCAAAATCCGTTGTTCTGACTTCCATTATGAAAACGTAAACAATGTCCAAATTTTTGACATTAGATTTGAGAAAAAAAAACTATTTATGTTAATGTTTTAATTAGGTGACCACCACTTAGATGACCCTTTGAATACATATGGTGAAAAATTTATAGTACGTTTACAATGTACCGGATTTCGTTAACCCAGAGGGTAATATGTTGAATAAATCCTTATAAAGTAGGTTAACCCGGTAAAAAGTTGTAATGTAAATGCCGTTTATTTCGAATAGACAATAACTGAAAAATATATTTGTAAATGCACAGGAGTGTAAATCTAGAAGGAGAAGGCTAGAACTTATTTTAGAAGAATAGCTTCAGCTCAGCCAAAAATGAGATACGATGGGCAGTCAATACATTCAAACCATATAAATCGGCAGGACCAGATGGAATCATAACGGCGATGCTTCAATTTGGCTCGCCAAGCATATATCTGATCCTTGAGAAGATCTATACGGCGTGTTTGACTCTCTTGTGCGTTCCGGGTCTATGGAACGAGGTAAAGGTTATTTACATTCCTAAAGCGGGGAAACCAAGCCACTCTGCACCAAATGACTGGAACAGGAACACTGAGGAACAGGAGCCATAAGGAACACACCACAAGCAGCTCTGAACGCAATGCTTAAGGCCTCTGAGCCTCAACATTAAGTGTCAGGCCGCACGTAGTGCCCTAACGCTGCATGAACAAAATCTATTGTGATATTGAAGTATCCTGAACGAACTAGGTATGACATTGGATCAACGCATAAAACTAAGCGACTATATATCATCAGTCCTGAGAATTGGGGATGTAGATGTCGTTATTTCTAGTAAAGACGACTGGAACCGGAGTAACCCTCCTCTGGACAATCTGGCTTTTTACACAGACGGATCGAAGATGGAAGAAGGTACAGGGGCTGGCGTCTACTGTGAAAGGCTAGGCCTTGAGTTAACCTACAAGCTGGATAGCAACTGTAGTGTTTTCTAAGCTGAAATCTTCGACATTTGGAAGGCAGCGGAATTGATAAAAAGTCTGGATGCAGAGATCGTTAAACCGGTGATATCTTTGTGGATAATCAAGCGGCTGTTAAAGCTATCAAATCCTGTTACCTCAAATCTGAGGTCGTCCTCAAGTATAGAACAGCTTTGGAAGAACATACAGCTATCGGTTGTGTTGGGTACCAGGACACTGTGACATCATGGGTAATGAAAGAGCACCTAAAGTGGTTGGGAAAGTGCAACCTTGACACGTAATATATCTTCTGTCCGATCTCTATAGCCATTGCAATACAGGAACGGATCATGCATGATATTTGGACTTTTTTCTTCGATATCATAAAGGACAATTCATTATCGTAGTAAAAACTAGTAGATTCTTGCAGTACGGGAACAGACCAATTATCATGCGTGATCTGTTCCTGTATTGCAATTTTGCACATTTTTTTTGTATATATCATGTTATCGTAGTAAAAATTGTACATTGTTGGTGGTTCTGGAACAGACCAACATTTACCAATATGTTTCCATTTTTATTGAATTCTTCTGGGTTTCTCCAAGAACGTCCTCAATGCTCTCAGGTAATGACATTATGACAATAAAACCTACGCCGATTAATACCTGGTCAATCCTGAAATCTTAAACGTCACAAACTAAATTAACAAATATCATGCCTTTTGCATTTACATGTCATTTGTCACGTAGTTTCGATGACTTATTAATAATGAGTAAAGATTTTTTGATGAGTCCGTGGTGTCGACTTCCGGACGAACACAAAAGCGGGTTTACACATGGTACAAATGTACAATGTAGTGTAGCTTTTGTTGGTTGGTTTGGGAAATAAATGACGCAACAGGGCTAAACCCAAATTATTACAGATATTGTATGTTTCCGTACTGCAAAAATCTATCGTACTAAAAAAAAATTTACATTCCTGCAAGATCGGGAGCAGACCATTTAAATTTGAAAATATTTCAGTTTAATTTATTTGCATGGTGTTCAGAACATACACAAAATATGTATTTTGATTCGATAGAACAGATCACTTAGGGAAAAAATTGTAATAAGTTGGTAGCAATGAGAGAGAACAAAACTTTCATGACCAATACCAATCACCAACAGTTTAAAATCCCGCTTTCTTTCACTGCACCATTTGTAGCTGTTGGAACGTATTTTACTTTTTATCGTCCCGTCTTGACCGCCGTCGACAAGTTTGCTCGGCTCAGGTGTCTGCCGGAACGAACGACACACAACTCTTATCAAAAGTCGAATTCGACTTTTACACACTTCAATACAAAAAGTCGATTAATCGATTAGTCAAAAGTCGATTTACTTATCCCTAATCATAATTTGCCTAAACCTCATTCGTAAACAACACGGTTTTTTAGTCTCCATCCCACCTAATTCGTAAACTTTCGGTTATACCATTTTGAGTTCATCTTTATCGGCCATTTTGTCTTCTCCTCCCATTCGTTAGTAGGTGGAACGTTTTTCAATTTTTTCAGTCGTCGTTTTTATTTTAGCTCCGTTCCAGAACCTAAAAGAATCTACTAATTTTACAAGTTTTGCAACGTTTTACTCGAAAACCGTTCCTGAACCCATAAAACTGGTAAAACATTGTATCAAATTTAAGAGAGCACAAAACAAAATGGCTTTCTCTTTGTAAACTTTTTACTTGAAAAATTTAGGCGAGTAAAAATGGTAAACAGGAATGCCTACTTCTGATTGGCTGTTATGTTGATTTTGAAGTATTGCCATCTAATTTTGGCATATTTACTAGATTTGCGTTCCGGAACTTTTGAAATTATTTTGTACTCTGAGACTTATTTTGAAATGTTTCCCTTTTACTAGCTTTACTATTAAAAAAGTACTGGAACAGACCATTATTTTAAAATGTTTCCCTTTTACTAGCTTTACTATTAAAAAAGTACTGGAACAGACCATTTGTTGGCGAAGGATTGCGTACGACGTCGCTTGAGTCTTGGCAGAACGACAATTAACAAGCGAATTTTATGAAGGCTGGAGTCTTGGAGGCTTCCCTCTCATTGTACAACCCTATAGTACCTTTGGTCCATATAGTACCTTTGCTCCATATAATTCCTTTACTCCATACAGTTCCTTTGCTCCAAATAGTTCCTTTGCTACATATAGTTCCGACTCCTACATAGTTCTTTTGAATCTCTCTCTTTCATCATTATTTTTTTCGTTTTTCCATATATAGTTCCTTTGCTCTTTATAGTTCCTTTGCTCCAAATAGTTCCTTTGATCCAAATAGTTCCTTTGCTCCATATAGTTCCTTTGCTCTTTATGGTTCCTTTGCTCCATACAGTTCCTTTGCTTCAAATAGTTCAAAAAAGGAACTGGATCACAGAAATGAACTATATTAATTAAAGAGATGGAACTAGTTCCGATCGTTCCTTTCTTGGAATAGTTCCAATGAACTAGTTCGTTTTGGGACTACCCAACTCTAATATCATTTTCATTCGCGACGTGAATTGGTTGAAACGTTAATTCTACGCGGAAGATTTGCCAGAAATAAATAATAATAGAATATAGGCAATGTTAATCCGTTTGACATAAATATGAAATGTGTTCTAATATATTTGAAAAATAAAAACAAAAATTAATAATATTGCCCATAGAGATTTTGTGTGCTGGGAATGTTGTAGTCTGGGAAGAAAGTGAAGAATAACTTGTAACCTTTTTTGACATTGACGGCCAGACTCAGCCTGCCAGCCAACCATCAACCAATCAGTAACATCATCATCATCGCCATCAAACAATCAACGCTCTGGGCGGCAGTTCACAATTTCCATTAACAAAGAATAATTAATAAAAGAAGAAAAATACAAATTTGAAGGAAAAGTGTTCTAAAAAAGCATATACATATAACGACATACATACATACACGTACATATAAATCATCTGTGAACTGCAAGTGAATGAAGAAATGCCAGACAAGACAACAACAAGTAAAAGAGATAATTGACAGAAGTGCACCACAGCGCGCAGAGCAGCCAATGCAAAAAGAAAAATTATAAAATTTATAATGCAAAAGAGAATGTAATAAGAAGATTGTGTTGTGTAATCAAAAAATAGAAAGAAAGATTTTGCAAATTGAAAAGAAAAGCCAAAATATACCGAAACATAGAACGAACGCCACCCAAAGCAAAAAAAAAAAAATTGTCTCCAATAAACAAACTCATAGCTAAACAACGAAACGAGATACACGGCACGCGATTTCAGTGTTTTTCCATTTGTTTACAAGAAGGGCGGCGTGCGTGTAAATCCTCACGTTTACTCCTCTTCCAACAAAAAACGGCAACAACAACAAATAACAGTTGACGGCACGCACAGCCACCAATTTCATTGAAACCAAAAAAAAAAAACATCCAACGTTAAGCTCATTGGAAATTTCCACTCTCTCCGCTCTTCCCCTTCCCCAAAAAAAGAAAATTTCCAAAAAGATTACAACAACAACGCAATAGCATCACCCAGTGCAAAGATAAACACAAGCATAATACCAACCAACCAAGCAAACAGCCCGACATAGGACAACGACTCTGAACAACAACCGAATTTATGACCTTCGTCTTGTGGTAGCGGTTAAGAAATTATTTATTTGAAATTCTCATCTACCGGTCGATCGGTGGTCACAGCCAATTCATATAAATAAAAAACACAGGCCTATTCAAATAATTTTGTGGTCCGAGGAGAAATCACATTGAGAAAACCATTGCAATTTTTATTTGTTGATCCATAAAAAACCATCAAAATACCACCAATTATGGCCAAGGACGAAGAAGATGATTTGTTGCCCGATAAGGATGCCGCCAAAGGTTTCTATGCCAAATATGAACCCAAAGAAATTTTGGGAAGGTAAGTCAAGAAAATAAAAACATTTTCGAAAGTGTAGGAAAATTTTTGAATTTTGTAGGTTCCATTTATCGTTATATGTAATTGAATGGAAAATTTTTTGGTTGTTTGTTTTTTGTAAACGCCAGACGCTCTCTCGAAAGCAATGGATATATTTACAAGAATATTTTTTTAGAAGAAAACCACCAGTTGCTGTGTTTGTTTACTTTTTACATAAATGTGTGAAGTGGTTAACAACACACACTGGCTGCATCATATTTTGAATATTCCAGAATGGGGGTGAAGGCAATAAAAAAGGTATGTGCTTGGTTTTCAATTTCAATATCAAATCCCTACCATAATGGGATGGGTCGATCTTAATGGAAGGAGGTCTTAATTAAAAGGCAATTGGCACCCTTATTAGGCAGCGATGGAACATTGAACAGTTAATATGTAACTATGTTTATATCGGAACCTAACAAGGCACCTAAAGTTAGGTTAACTTAAAGGATGTACGGCTACCATTTGTAGACGTTCACTTGAAGACATTTCTACATGGTGTCCAGGATGAGCAAGACAAACAAGAAAGGAGTAAAGGAAAGTGAAAAAGGGGAGATAGAGGAGGATTAAATAGTTGTTGTTGTAGCCCTATTGCTTTTACACAATGGGCTGAGGTGACAGTCGTTGGCCGAGTAAGACTCGGGTCGTTTCGGATCATAGACCCCTATGTCGTGGATTAAATAGTGTAGACATTTGGTCATTTTAGCCATGTCAGAATTTTAACAAAGCTTAGGAATCTTAACAAAGTACAGAATCTTAACAAAGACCTTGACCACAAGCTAACATGGAAAAGGAATGTTGAGGAACGCACTAAGAAAGGTCTAATAGCATTCTACCCCTGGAAGAACTCTATGGGAAAGAGTTGGGGACTAAACCAGAGATCATATACTGACTGTATGTGGCGGTCGTTCTCCCCATTCTTACATATGGTTGCCTTGAATGGTGGCAGGGGTTCAACAAAAAGTTACTGCTGACAAAATTAAATTCAGTACAGCGATCGGCTTCGATCCTGACTACCGGAGCGCTAAGAAGTACACCGCAGGCAGCATTGAATGCGATCTTAAATCTCCAACCACTGGATATTCTGATTAAATTCCAGGCGGCCAGATGTGCCATGAGGCTCCGAGAAACGGATGCCTGAAATGGTCACGTTAATATCCTCATAACGCCATGTTGTGATTTCTTTAGGAGAAATACTTACAATAGTGACTATGTTCACTCTCATAGAGACTTTAATGACATCAAAGTAGAGTTTCCTAGTAGGGAATCATGGACTAGTGGCTCCTTATCTCTGCCAGGTCTGTAATTTTTCACAGACGGGTCAAAGATGGAGGAAGGCACTGGTGCAGGCGTTTACTGTAGGGAATTAGAAATATATAACTCATATAAACTTAACAATCTTTGTAGCGTTTTTCAAGCAGAAATCCCAGCAAATCATGAATGCGGCTGAGATAGTCAAAACACTTACTGCCTTTAATATAGGACCCGTGGTTATATATGACGATAGTCAGGCGCCCTTAATGCATTCAAATCTAGTACTATAAACTCAAAAGAGGTTCGGGGCTGCAAAAGTGCTTTTCATGATATACGACCGATATTTCAATTATGTTGGATTCCAGGACATAGTAACATAAAAGGAAATGAGATAGCCCATGAGCTTGCTCGAGGGGGTTCGCAGTCTTCCAATCTATCGATTGAGAGATCTGTACAATCTTCTATTGGCGAAATATTCAATGGTACAATTAGATTAATTTCATTGAATGACACGATTTGAAACCGTATTTAATTAGAATTTTCAACATAAGTATAGGTTTTTGGTTTCAAAATAATATGTTGCACCTTTGTATTGAAATTATATCGTACAGTTTTCTCCTGACATCCTGCAGAGATTTTGTCGATTTACGCTGACCATACGGATTCAGTCGTATCCTATCTTATTATTGTTTAAAATTATATTTATGCTATTTTTATAATTGAACAAATCTTAGGTATGTAATTCAATATCTATTTCTAATTACATATGCAACTAATTGTGAATATTATTTATAGTAATCACACTCCCACCGCATTTTTCCTGTCTACAATTCAATTTCAATTTGATGATTTCAAATTTTTTGCAATAATAAAAACACAATCGCATACCTTTTTGCTTCGCTAAACATTTGAAATAACATTCATTTTAAGTGTATCAGACAGACAGATGGTCAATTCAAAGATAGAAAAAAACCATATAGATATGGATAGGCTGTATTTATTTGTCACATTAAGCTGTCTGGCTGAGTTTGATTGCTATTTAAAAGGCGCGCTTGTGATGAGGGGGCACGTCTACATATATACATACAGATACAAGATGGGTTTGTTGTTTGCATGTCTTGATATATTTTTATGTTTATTTTTATTATTGCAAAAAAAAAAAAAAAAAAGTAAATAAATAAATTAAAGGCAACACGCTCACGTAGAGCAAAAAATAAATAGAAAAAATAAATCATTTATTTGATTTCATATCTGCTCAACAAATATTTGTTAAAATAAATTGTGTTAATAAAATTGCAATCACTTCCCATTTTGAAAAAAAAAAAATTATTTCCCTTATCATGTAAAATTTCATTGTTGAGGCTATTAAAGTTCTGGCCCTGTTGAACTCTAAATCATTTTTTACTTATTTCTACTATTCTTGAGTCATAGCTTAGTAGAACACGTGCAAATAAATATAATAGTTTTTCAATTTCGTGGCGATAAACCCCTTACAATATATAAAACACAAATTTAGACAAAATCTGTATTCGAAATCAATTAATTTGGATATAATCCAAATAAATGTTGCCACTCTTGTAAAACCAACGCTTTCCTATTTTTTTAGATATTTGTCATCACCACTGGGTTCCTTTATTATAATTTTTTTTGTTTTCATTTTTTTTTTGCGTCATTGTTATTTTTTCAAATCAAAAGAACGAAGAAGCAACAAATTTTCCACACACAGCTTCCTAACCAAATTTTCATATGTTGTTTTTTTTTGGACTTTGTAACTCTGCTGAATAAAAATAAATAAAATGTTATTTTCTCATATTCTATATACACGCATAACACTTAAATAAATACATACAAGTACGTAATATAAATCTTATCTCGTTTAATATAAATGTCGCGTTATTCTCACTTCTACGTTCCGTAGTAAACATTTATTCAATGAGACATTGACCCACTACCCAGATATGACACGTGACGTACATGTTATTGAGTGTTTTTTGGGGGAATTTTTTGGGCATTGGCATTGTTGTTTACAAAGTTGTTAGTTATTTTTGGCTCCTGTAACGTTATGTGAATACAAATAACGTAATTAGATGATCTATGGCCATCGGAAACAAAGTAATAATTATAATAGATAAGATTTATTACCAAGTAGAGTATTTAACTTATATACACCACTAATATGGTTATTTTGTCCATTTATTACCAGAAGGTACCTTGAAATTATGTGCCATAAAAAATTAATAAACTGTTCCTTCCTATTTTGGATATAAAAATTAGACTTAAATTCAAATGAATGGAGGTTACTAATTTAAATAGTAAAATTTAAAAAAAATAATAACTAAATAATATTTATAAATATGTACTTGTATACTTCTATCATACATACCTAGTCTATGGAAAGAGGTAACAGTGACCTTCATCCCGAAAGCCGAGTCATAAGCTTCCAAAGAACTATAGACCGATTAGCCTATCTTCATTTCTACTCAAGACTTTAGAAAGGTTACTAGACTCAGAAATTAGAAATACTATTGATCATAGCAAAATTAGCAACACCCAGCATACACCCGCATACATCAAATGCAAATCAGAGGATACGGCCTAACATGAGGTGGTTAGACACATTGAGAAAAATATGGAGTCCACTGGCTACACCTTGGCTGCGTTCCTAGATATTGAGGGAGCTTTCAACAATGTGAAGCTAGAGGCCATCCATTCTGCTCTCGTAAGCTCAGGCATCTCCTCACTTCTAACGGACTGGATAGATAGAATGCTGGAAAGCAGAATTATCAACTCATCCTTAGGAGAGAGTTCCGTGAGGAAATCTGTGAACAGACGCACCCCTTCCGTGGCTTCTGGTGATAAATGAGATACTGTTGAAATTCGATCATCTTAAAATAAAGGTTATAGCTGATGATGTCTTGCTGGTTGGTGGGAAATTTCTAATGACAATTTCAGATATTATGCAGGGCGCCCATTCAACTCTGCAAGTGGGGGCACACGCCAAGGTATTGGTGTAAACCCCACTAAGACAGAATTGGTGCTCTTCACTATAAAACGTAAGAAGCAAAATACCTTGCTTGGAATGTTGAGGAATGCTCTAAGAAAGGACTGATAGCACTCTACTCCGGCATGAACTCCAAAGAGAGAAAGAGACTAAGAAAGGAGATCATACACTGGCTGTATGTGACGGTCGTTCTCCCCATTCTTACATATGGTTGCCTTGTATGGTGGCAGGGTGTCAACAAATGGATACTGCTGACAAAATTAAATTTAGTACAGCGATCGGCTTCGTTCCTGACAACCGGAGCGCTAAGAAGTATACGACAGGCAGCCTTGAATGCGATCTTAAATCTCCAACCACTGGACATTCTGATTAAAATCTAGGCGGCCAGATGTGCCCTGAGGATTCCAGAAACGGATGCCTGGAAATCGCTGAACTATGGTTACGCTAGTATCCTAAACATAACGCCAGGTTGTGATTTCTTGAGGAGAAATACTCACATCTCTCTCATAGAGACTTTAATGACATCAGAGTAGGGAATCATGGAGTAGTGGCTCCCTACCTGCGCCAAGGTCTGTCATTTTTCACAGACGGGTCAAAGATGGAGGAAGTCACTGGTGCAGGTGTTTACTGTAGGGAATTAGAAATATACAACTCATATAAACTTAACAAACTTATATGACAGCCCTTAACCTAACCAAAACTAGGGCCG